TGTAAGCAAATTGTATGTATGAACATATATATACATATTATAATATATAAAAATAAGATTACACTAAAAAATATTTATATACAACATTAAAACACTTATAATTTATTTAATAGTATGAGATTTTAAAAAAAAATGTCACAGAACATTCATTTGGGAAACAATTCGAAAACATTGACACTCTCATGTGAACAACAAAATTACTATTCTATTTTTTTTTTTTAAATTATCAACCAAAAATTTTCATTCGTTTTTAGCAAATTTTTTTAATTTAAACTGAACAATTGGAATTTTATTTGGTAAAATGCTGGAAATTGGCAAGATTTCCAATGAATTAAAATATTTATGATTTTAGTTTTAAACATTATTTCAGAAAGTATTTTAGTAATCTCAAAATAGAGCAATTTCAATTGTCAAATAAGTAGGACAAGTAAAAGTAAGCTCTTTGTCTCTCTTTTCATTTTCTGAATTTTTAATATTCATTAAAATTTGCAAAGTTTTACATTGTAGTATTGCCATTTTTAAACATTTCAAGTTTTAATTTTGACTTCATATATGAATTCTACAACTTCCGTTAAAGAAGTTCATTTTATGTCGTTTATCTATCAAAAACAAAAATGTTCCAACGTTTTTCCTTGTTCTTGTTAAAATTGTTGAAACCAATAGTTGCCTTAAAATAAAACTTATTTTTCAATTTTTTCATATAATTGTTCTCTTAAATATCAAAATTTTGTTTATATCTCCCTAAAAATATGCAATAAAATAAAACATAATAATATACGAAAGTATTTTTGCCAAGTAGTTTAATTCGGGTTTAATTTTTGGAATTTTTTTCGTCATCGTATTCAAATAAATTTAAGAATAAATTCTCAAATTCAATATAAATAAATTTATAAATGAGGCACACTATACAATTATTATACGAATTGACAAAAATGCAAATTGTTGCATATATTAGAAAAAAAAGGTAACATAGATTTTACATTAATAGAGAACACTTAAAAAAATGTTCCTATTAGATCTATTAATCATGTAGATTCCATGCAATTATTGTAATTTTAACTCAAATAAAAATTTTGATTTATACGTTTAAAATTAGTAAAATACACATGTAAAATTTGTAAAACAACAATTTAAAGTAAAGGATAATTAATAATTCTTCCTGTTTAAAATAAAAACCTGATTTGAAAATGAAATGTAAATAATGAATTAACTATAATAGGTTATTCATTTTTTTTTCATTCATAGTTTCTAAAGTATTCTGACCTTTAGTTATGTTATCACTGGCCAAGTTCTAAGAATTCTGATAATAGAAACATATATATACATATTTTTTTAATAATTCTTACGAATGAAGGTCTCAATAAATACAATATTATTATCAATTTAATGCAATATGATAGAAACTTTGCATTTTGCGAATATCAAATGTAAAATCACTCAAAATAAGTGCAAAAATTTTATTCTGTAAAAATAGTTTTACTTGTTCATGAAATAACATTGCTCTTTTGCATATAAATTTTTGATAGTGTGTATTAAATTGTAATTAAAATTAAAAAACCAAATCTAATGTAGGTATAGACTAACGAAGACATTTTGTAAAAATGATAAGTTTTAAGATTTGAATTTGAAATGCAATAATTAAGTAAGTATTTTAAAACTTAATTATTATAATTATACTTTCACTTTTAATCTTTAATTCCTATCAAGAGTGCTATACTTAAAGTTATACAGCATATGTATTGATTTTTACTTAAATATATATAATTAAATTGTTTGAAAATTCCTTTATTATATGCCAAATATACAACATATATACACATATGCCAATTATACAACAGGGTTATTAATAATTATTTAATAATTTTAATTATACAAGATACCTTAATATCTTTATTTCATAGGAATTTCTTTTACATAAACAAATGAACTTATAACTGTATTTATCTACACTATTTATGTGGATTTATCCAAATTTAATAGATAATATGAATTGTATAATTCACAATGTATTCAAATAAAAATGTATGTACATATTTGATCATATCTATAATATGAGACTAAAAACTGATCGAACACAATATTACATTTTATGTAGAATTCCTAAAAATTCTTTCTCTTTTGTATATGTAAATCATACATTTGCACAATAAGTTTATAACCTGAGCTAAATGACATTATACAATGAATATAAAAACGTATAGCATTATAAACAAAACTATATTATACATAACATGTATATATATATATATATATATATATATATATATATATGTATGCTTACATTTAATATAATTATATAATACCGTAATTGCAATTGTATACGAAATGTAGTTTTTATAATGCAATAGCGCATCCAATATTTTTTGAATAGGAAAGTTTTAATATTTTATAAAAAATGCATATTGACTGACCGTCAAGCTATCTTATAACTCGATTTAATGTTTTAGCCGCCTTTTCTTACAAATGAATACTATGTGGGCGAAAACGAAATCTAAATAAAAACATGTGCATACCTCACGATATGATAGAGACAAAAGATGATGTTACTTAATAGAGAACCTGAGTGGGACTTTTTTTTTCAACAGCATTAAAATAGGCAAAAATATATGATTTTATTATTTGTCAATTTATTCCTCACATATAGCTTTTTGAGACTGTATGAGAGCTGTAAGTACAGCTACCGTTAAAAGGTATATAAATTGTTTTAGATTTTGCTTAAAAGATAAAGTAATTTAAAAATAATTTCCATAATTCATTTTAAAGAATATCATGTACAATTTTTAAAAGGAACACCAACTCATTTTTAGTTAAAATTCAAATATTAGCTCTTACGCCTACCCTCCCCTTTCCATTATTAACATATTTTTGTTTTTTACATTTTTTATAAAAAATCCTTTATTCCTTTTTGCTTTATATTATTAAATTTTTATACAAAGAAAGCCTAATAATATTCATTAAGTTTTCTATCGTTAACAAAAAGTAAAAGAAAACGGTTCCTTTCTATTGTTTAATTATTCTATATATATGTAATTTATAAAATATTCTTATTTAATACAAGAAATGTGTGCAATTTTATGCATTAGATAACCTAAATGCATGCATGCATATCTAAAATAATTATACAAACAAACAAATAAGTAATTTCCAAAAATCTGTTTCAACTTTTCACTCAAACATAAGAGAGAGTGATGTGAATTTATTGTATGCTTCTTGAGAGTTATAGTTCGCCGTATTGTGATTTATTTTGTTGAATCTTAAACTTACAACTTATAAAAATGATATTACTGCCTGTTCTTTTTATGTGTTTTATTAATGAAGTTTTCGCTTTGAATCAAAATTACGTAAATGAAAATATTTTCTCTTATAATATTTTGGAGTTTTATAATTATAAAAAATTAATTTGATTTAAATTTTTTTACATATGGTTTGGAACAAATATGGAGACTAAGTTTGGGAGAATATGGAGACCTTCTTGTAACTAAAAAACTACAATACACAAAAATAAACAGAACAGAAATGCTAACAGTAGTGCAAAATTATCGAAATTAATTTTGTAAACTCATATTTAGCAGTCGTTTAAAACAAAATTTGCATAATATAGTTTAAGAAAATAAAAAAATATTGAATAAAAATAAAAAAAATTTTGATGTTATTCGTTTAAATAAAAGTTTGGTTTTTAAAATAATTCCAAAAATAACTTGTTTCTAATGACAAAATAAACAAATCTTAAAAGTGATATACTTTCTAATTTAAATACAAGGCCGGAATCGAAAACTCAGTAAATTTCTTATCACATTTTGACTAAAAGACAAAATTATTTTACCACATTTATTGATATACAGAAAATTATATATGCAATTATATAGAAATTTTTCTTAAACTAATTTAAAAAATTGTTTATGTGTATAACATTACATGAAGGGCAATCCTTATAGATTATATATTTTAAATTTTTATAGAGGTGTGGGCAATGGAACTATCCTGGCTATCACTAGAATTATTATAGTCTTCGCATACACCCATTTCAATTTTAACTATATATTACATCTAAATGCCAGTAATGCTTTTTAGACTGTAGAATGTACAGTAGACTACTATTCAGATTTTATTTGTCTATATGCAGGTCAAAAATTAAAGTATCCTGCATATTATAACGGGTTCCTTTACAAAGTGTGCCTATATCAAGATTTGTACTAGCATAAGAATGTCTAAAATATTATTTAATATTTTTAAACTATAAAATATGCATATACTGTTTATAAATATATTATAATATGTAAATTTAGCTTCAAAATATAAAGAAATTTTCATATATACGCAATTTATAAGGTATTCCGAATTATAATAGCATTGTAAATTATTGGCAAAATGGAAGTTACTCTTATAATTTCCCCGAGATATTTCATATAATCTGAGTATGATTAATTCAATGTATGGCACGCTACTGATTGTAATATCTGTCATATGTCATCGCTTCTTGCCATATTTCAATATTACATAGCTCTTTTTGTAAATACTCATCTTAAAGTACACAAATATTCTATTATAACAAATCCAATAAAACATATACAAGTATACATACATATTTCTTATACTGAACAATGTTATAATTGTACAATGCATCCGGAACACTTCCTTTTGCATTATAAAATAGGAAATTTAAAAATATGTACATAAATACATACAAACATAATAAAATTTTATATGTAGATAAAATTTTCATGCTATGATGGCTCTCAATAAAAAGAGATTCATTAGCATCTCTTAAAAATTAATTCAGAGAGGAATTTATTATTATTTTGTTGAATAGAATAGAATAAAAATATGCGTTGTGTTGGTTTGTGTTGTCTTGCGTTTTTATTCTTATCTTATTGTTTGTTTGTTTGTTATTTTCAACAGTTTTTCTTTATTCTTGTTTGTATTTAAAATTATTTTTCTTGGTTTTGTTTTATTTTTTTTTCCTTTTGTTTTCTTTCTTACATTCTGTCATCATTAGTTTTCTAAAAGGACAAAGATAAAGTTATTATTGATGATGATGTTGGTGATGATATTGATGATAATTGGTGATACTGATATTGATAAATATTTAAAATCAGTTTATAAAATTATACTTGTAAATGTGAACAAAAATTATAATACAAACAAAAAAAAATTGAAGTATTTTGACTTGAGATTTCAGAGAAAAATAAATTTAATAATTGTTGTGTTATTAAATGTAAGAGTACACTACACATAATAATTTAATTAAAATAATTAACAAGCTTTCTTAACTACAACTACCTGATGATGTAAACAAAGCATATAATATTAAAAACCTAGTTTTACTTTTATCAAAGGTATTATAATAGCCGCCTATTGTAACTTACTTTTATTTTATAAAATATTAAAACTAGTTCACAATAGAATTCTTTGTTTTATTAGGATTCCTCTCAGGAACACATACCCGGAACAGCACAGTACCTATTTTTAAAAAGTCCTCAATCAAAAGTTATAAACATGTAAATGGCTATATTTACATTAATATATAAATATATAGTTTGTTTTATTAAAGCCTTGATTAATTAATTATTTAAAAGTTACTTGATTTCTTTGCAATAAAAACAAAATAGCAGACAAAATACTGACAAAATTACTACACACAATGATTATAATTACAATTCAAAAAAAAATGAATTACTAAAATTTTAAACTTAAAAGTTAAATATTCTAAAAAAAATATAAATAATGCAAAAATCAAAAGTATTGCATAAAGTTGAAAAATTCCAATCAACTGGTCAATTCGTAATGGTTTTTGTTTCTGTAATTTACTGTTACGATCATAATCACTTCTTAAATCAACATATAACTCTTCCCATTTTTTTATAAAGCCCATATACATATATTTTTGAACTTCATAATCAATAGCTCTTTTTAAAAATGAATTTTTTTCTAAATATATACACAAATTATTTGTTAAAACTTTTTCTGGTACTTCAACTAAATTACTAATAATATTCTTATATTCCTTTTTAAAATAACTAAAATATTCACGTGGGCATAATATTGCAATATGAATATAATTATCATCATCATCATGATCATCTTCATAATCATCGTCATTTATAAGCAATTCTTGAAAAGTTTCTAATTCGGATACATTCAAAATATTTGTATAATATTTTATATATGGTACTTTAACTAGCATATCTTGAACGGATGTTGATGCATAAATTTTATAATTTTTATATAAAACTTCATTAATTGTTAATGGTATAGTTTTCATTTGATCCATTCTAATGAAATTATAAAGTGCTGCTTGATAAGCATTTCTTAAAACAAAACTTGTACATATCCAAAATATTAATATTGAACGAGCGAAATTAAAACGAGGCTGTGGTATTACAATTCCACCTAAAAATGAACTTAACATATTTAAAATTGGTATTTGATTTTTATGACCAAAAACAAAATTTCGAATTTTAATTTTACGTCTTTCTATTATTATTATTATAAGAATCCCAATGATTATCATTGAAATTAATGTTAACCATGTATTAAGTGTGAATGGAAATTGAAGTCTTTCAATTGATGAATATTTTTCTCCAGCTTGTATTATTAATACTAAAGATGATGCATAATATGAATGACTAAATGAAAAATATTTTGAACGAGATCGTCCCAAATGTAGTCGTCCAATTGCAATTTGAATATCACCATCCTGCAGCTATATAAAGAAAATAATAAAAATATAAATAATAATAATAATTTCGGAATAAGGAATGACTTACAATTTTAAAAGCTCCTGTTGTTGTATCATTTGCAAAAACATAACTTTTAACATTATCTTCTAAAATGAATGGTTCTATTTCAAAATTTAATGCTTTTGATATTTGTTTTATAATTTCTCCTTCAAATCCTTTTATAGTAATATTATTTCCATTTATAGATTTTTTTATAAATAAATATGGTGGATCATTTGCCAAGAAAATTCTTATTTTACATTGATGCATATTCATTGCTTTAATTGGAAAAGTTTTCTTTATTGAAGTTTCATTAAATAAGAATCGTTCACCATTATATCTGTTAATAATAATAGGGAACACACGTTCACAATAAAATTTTGTGTAGGGAAAAAATGTATAAATTAAAATATCATTCTCCAATGGTTCCATAATAATATTAACATTAATAATATTCATATTATTAAAATTTTCCAATATTCTAACAATTTCATTATAATAATGAGAATGCAAATTACGAAAATAAATTAAAAAATATGAATCATAACTGTATTTGCTGAGAATTTTCGTATTAATTTTACTGAAAGAAAAAAAAAAAGATGTAAGAAATTTTGTTATAAATTTTAAATAACTAAAATAATTTAATCAGATGCGATAGAGGATGTGGGTCGGTATTTTTAAAATTTTATTTGGAAAGTGTTCTATTCGTTCTGCTTTAAATTTCAAAAAAAATTAAATATAAAAGCAATATTTTGAATATCAAGAAATTATAACTTTTAATTTAGAAATTTTAATAAATTTTTAATTAAAATATTAATTTTTTTTTTTTTTTTTTTTTTTTTTTTTTTCCTTCTTCACTCCTAGGAGGAGTATAGGGCTAGTGCATGATATCTATCATGCCCTAGTTTCTATAGTCATAGAGAGTTAGCTAGGTAGGTGACTAGCCTGCCGTAGTTTTATTTATATTAATTATTTGAGGTTATTAATATTTACTGTTTATTTTTCTTAGTTTTTAGTATCGAATATTATGAATATTTGAAAATTACTTGTTTAATATTTATTAGTATTGCATATTAAGTTATATAATATTGAATATAATTTTTATAGTGACCTGACCGGGGTTTGAACCCGAGACCCTTCGGTTAAAGGGCCGGTGCCATAACCACTGCACCAATGATCAGATAAAAATATTAATTATAGGCTGTTTTAAATATTATGCATAGTTTTTGCAAGCTGTTTAAACGTTTATTGCACTTTACTAAACAAATAGCACTGCAAGTTGATAGCAGCTAAACTACACCACTCCATATAAAAATCGGCAGCTGAGACGAGTAATTATGCATATTTACTTCGAAACTTGAAATTTAAATTTTTGAATACTCCTATTCAAATAAGCAAGTTTTGCGAAAAGCTAGACTAAAGTTTTGTACATAACACTCAAAACAACTCTGTAATAGCAGATAGTAGTTTAAAGTGATTTGTAAATATAATGTTGTTTGGTATACAAATCCTATATTAAATAAGAACAAAAACTATAATTTACAAGTTTGAATAACAAGGATATTCGCAAAACATTTATTCTCCAAATTAAAATCTAAAATCATTATCCGTATTGAATATATGTTTACACGTATATTCTACTACTCAATACTACTCTCAATGAACCCTTCATATAGGACATAGGCTGATGCAGTAGAAAATATTATACATTTCTAATACAATACCTACGGTATGTTGCAATTTTTCTCAAACACAGTTCAATTGCATATACCACCGGTTGTATTACAGTGCTATTACTATTTAGACTGAACATTTTTTTGAATTGTAAATTTCGACTGAACACATTGAATTTTTGAACATTTTTGTAATGTAAGTCCTGAATATTTTATATAGATTTAACTGAAAGACATTTAAAGTATGAAACAGAATATCAAAATTTTAAAGTGATCTGAATGAGCATAGTTTCGGACGTTCGAATAAAATTGCACGTACACTCTTTTACTGTATTTATACATAATTAAATATATTGATATAATTTCTATTAATAATAATATTCTTTATCAATATTAATAAATTAACGATTCAATAATAAATTAAATATTAAAATTATTATCTTTTTATATAATTACAATAATATTAAAAATATTTACCGAAATACATCAAATGAATCAATTGCAATTAAAATTAAATTATGTGAAAAATCCTCATCCATATTATATGAAATTTCTTTGAAATTTTCTAATGTGTCAATACGTACTGTAATAAATTCTAATGAAATCAAAATATTATTTATAACATCAAATTCATTATTTTCACTTTTTATATTTTCAAAACCACTAATTATATATAAATTAGATGTTGTTTGATTTAAAAAATCTTCTACAATCACTTTAATTGGTTTAATTATTCCTGGATAATCTGTCATCTTGATATTATCATCTATTAAATTTGTTTTTGTTAATGTTAATTTCAATGATGATGACAATCTAATTAAATATTGCTGAATTGCAAAATTTATTAAAAATTTAAATATGCAAAATAACATTTTCTATATTCAATTATTAAAATATGAAAAATCCTTTTATATAAATTTGTATAATATTTATCCGTCTACTATTTATATAGGTATCCTTATATTTAATTATAATTGTGAATATTTGATTTTAAAGAAATCTACATTAAGTTTAAATTTAATTTAAAGAAATAGTGAATATATATTATGTAATTATTTAAAATGTTATAATATTTAATGCATAATTTTATACACGTACATTATACTGATATTAAATTAATTAAAAGGTGTTATTTTAATAGTATAAATTTTAATGTATACAATTATTTTTGAATATTATTCTAAATGATGTTTTTATGTTTTTGAATAGAATTAAATATAAAAAGAAATTATTTTAAAACTCCTTTTATTATGATAGCCAATAATCTTTATAATGGAAACATTTTTTTGTGTTGATATGCTAATTTGACTTAAAGGTTATTATTTAAATGATATATATGTATATACATTAATGAAGATGGTAAATTCAAATTCAAATTAAGTACATAACATTGAAGAAAAATATATATATATATATATTAAATTAACTTCTGACAGCTTCTCACCATAAACGCTCGCAATTTTATTTTTCTTTTTCAGTAGTATAACAATATAAATAAGACTTATTTATCGAGCTCCTTTCAGTTATGTGCAGCACTTTTATCCCAAATCTATATAATAACTTTCCACATATCCCAACCTAAGTTAAAAAAATTTTGAAGAATAGTTTATTCCGATAAAATGGCTCTTATATTTTTACAATATTTGGACTTTACAGATTAATTTTTTCAGTTCTGCATAAAAAAAGATAAGATTCAATTCAAAAACTATTCTGAATTTTGATTCAAATGTAAATGTTATACATTTTTATAATAATTTAAGATGCCTATATTTTGAATTATTTAATCAAACCGATTAAATGAGTACCCGTAATAATCTTTATACTCAATCTTTGAACTTTCAAAGATAATTAACATTCAAAATAAAAATAAATAACAAAAAATCATTGATATTAAAAAAAATTAATGAAAAAAAAAAAAAGAAACAGAAAATAATTATTTATTTTCAGTTCCTTTAACTCATTCTATTACAAAGAATAAAAGCATATTTATATCACAAAAAGGATAATAATTAAAAATTATTAAAAAATTTTCAAAGTATTGGTATGCAATTAACAGAAAGAGTTATTAAACATTTCGAATAATAATTAGCTCCCCAATATAAAGAAAATAATTTGTTTGTCATTTACTGAATTAATTTGTTTTTAAAAGAAGAGACAAGAAAGATAAAGTACGAGTAACAAGCTTCGGTAACTCAAAAAATATACCCCGCCAATTTGAAACAATTAACAATGAACTTAAAACAGATGCGACATCTGTATTTGCGATTTGAAAACTCAAATATTTAAGACGACAATTCTTAATATTTCACATTTCAATATTTTTTTATTAAATTAATTTTAAATTGTACAAATTGCGATAAGTATTTTTTTTTTCTAAAACTCATTGTCATGTTATGTAACGAAAATAAGAACTTAAAATCAAATCTGCTAAATGCATTTTAAATGACATTTAATTCATGAGATGCCTGCAGTATACCGGAGGAAACGTTTAATTCCAATATAGCTCTTTCAATTTTTTGGCTGTAACAGTAATAATATAGTTATAATAATGATATATTTAATAGTACGATAATTGGAACTTGAATAAAAAATTTTCAACAGTGTTTTTAATGCAAATTATTCTCTTTCAAATTATACTTAAAAATTGTATAGGCAAAAAAATATGCTCATCAAAATAATTATTAAAAGTGCGTAATGCCGTTACTAAAACTCGTTTCATCGAGTATAATATAGTATCGTATACGGTATCGATAACCTCTTATATATGCCTTGAACACAATTTCTTAGAAACTCTTTTATATATTTTTATTACCACCTCTCATAATATAAGAAAAGGAATTTTTCTGCCACTTAAGATTTATATTTCGTAAAATACATAGAGCAATTAATTAATAAAATTTCAATTTAGTATTTGCATGTTATTTACGCAAATGCTATCATTTGAATAGAGTAGTTCGCATATTATGCGTTAAAATGTATTTTATAATTATAAAAATTTAATTTTAGAAAATATTATACAGAAATTATAATCAATATAATCAACATTAAATACTGATAATAAATTTCTTTAACTCACAAATTGCTGTTGGTAACTTTTCATGATTTAAGTCTATTCGAAAATGCAATATGAATGTAATTATTGGCATTGCTCTCATAATAGTGTTGAAATAAGTTTATTATGTAATATTGTAAATAATGTGTGTTACTGATCTTTAATGTAAATATCCAATGTATGTAATTAACTTTTTAAATTTTATTAACAAAATTTCTTAAATTATTTTATATTAAAAAAATTCTTAAATTATTTTATGAAATTTATAAATAAAATTCATATTACAAAATGCAAATATTTTATCAAGGCTGCCAGTCGTATTAAAAAAAAAATGATATTTTATTTTTATTCAGTTTTTTTGTTTAAGATTTTTCTTTTATTTAAACCATAGACAAGAAAATAAATATAGGTACGTACAAGTACAATTTGAGATTTTTCTTAAAATTATTTTCTGCTATTCTAAACACAATTTAAAATTAAATAATTTAAAAATATTTAAAATATCTTTATATAATATTTAATTCATTTCCATATACATGATTATATTTCAAATAATTAATATATTTTTATATTATATACCTTAATATATATAAATCTAATTAATCCTATGCAGTGTATTCAAACAAGAAAAATATTTAAGAAGAGGCTAACCAATATTTTTGTCCAAGTAAGCAAACTTTTTTATATTTAATCTTAATTTATTATAATATACATACATATATAAGATAAAATATGTTACATACGATAATATAGAATCTACATATATACTTGAGAATAATGAATGACTTGTGGGTTAAAATTCTTATGTAATGAATGAATCAAATGTGACATATACGACCACTTGTTTCATCCCAAATTATGTACATACATATCTATATCTTTTATCATATAATATTAATATATATACCTTTATTATGTAATTCTATTTTAAAATAAGACATTATAATTTATTTGTTAAGCAAATTCTCATAATGATAGTCTATTGTTGAAAAATAATTTAAATAGAAGAATATAATCTGTAGTAAAGCACGAAACTTTATTATTTCGTCTGTCACAACTTAAATCAGATAATATTTTTCTTTAATTAATGAAATTCTAGCTAGCTTAAACAATTTATACAAAATATTTAAAATTTAAATGAATTATGAAAAATTGCATATATTTCGGGGGTTTTTTTGCAATAAATTTGAAAATAAAAATAGTTAGCTAATTTTATATGAAATAAAATTTTGTTCAATCCTTTTATAATTTTATAAAATTTATAAAAATCTAAAGTTATTCGAAAATCTAATAATTTTAAATTCATAATTTAAAAAAAATATTTAAAACAAAAAATCTTAAAAATTATTCCAAAAATCTAAACATAATAAAATTTGAATTGGGTCAAAAATGTGAAGCTAAACATTGTTTTCTTAACAAATTGAGAACAAATTACAACATAAATATTTTGGTAGAAACCATACAATTGAATTTACGATTAAAAATTTCCTTCTAATACACTTTTGTCTTCTTATAATTTGAATTCTTATGTATGTACTTTAAGTACCGACACACACATATTTAGTTGTAATTAATGAATAAAAAAAAAATTAGATTTTTCTTGGTTTTTTTTTTTTTATTTTTTGCATATACTCCAAGTTAATCATGTTAGAACGACTTTTGATAACTTAATAGCATCATCTTTCATATTAAATTTGTATGTCTATGCAATATAATGAATGAATTTTTGTATGTAATAGGCGTTAAGAGGAAAATATAAAAAACAGAAGAGATAACCATAAATATATGTATATTTAGATAAAAAATTAAATATATTAATAAGATACTTATATCTTTAAGATGAATGAATATGTTGTGCATATTTTACTGAAATATTTATATGCAAAGAATCTCTAATAATAATGACATAAAAGAGAAAAAATAATAAAAAAAAATTTTAAATTTAATCGTATAACAACTTTAAGATACTTGTATATAAAATCACATAATATACAATAAATTGCTGATAAATAATATGGAATATTCGGAAAATGTACAACAGAGGGTTATTCTATAAAGAGTGCTATATTATAAACCTTTGTTACATTGTACCTCTTTAGCACGCTGAGAAAGTTATTTACATTATTGAAAATGATAAGTTTTACTCTAGAATGTTTTAACATCTCTAGAATGTTTTAGCATCATCTTCTTTTAACATCACGTTTTATGGCTTGTTCTGAACCATAAGCAACTTAGAAGGAATTTTATTAAAACAAAAATTAGAAATCTGTCCATTTATTGCGATGAAATAATTAAAAAGATTAAAATAGGTACAAAATCAAAATATACTGCCATGCCAATAAAAGATTTTGAAATATACAAAATCAACAAATAGATTACATCTCTTGAATAGTTCATTCAAAGTATCTTGGTCAGCCTTTCATTTTCTTTCAAATAGAAAATTAAAATTTTAAAAATATGCGATTATAACAGGAGTTTCGAAAAATT